GGCGGTGGCGGCGCCGGCCGCGGCGGACGCGGGCGGCGCGGCGGGCGCGGAGGGGCGGAGGTTCAGAATCGGGCGGCCGGGGGGCGGCGAGGGCGCGCTATAGCCCCACTCATCACCAACCCCTTGGAACAGGCCAGCCAGATCGCCGGCCCCCGCGTCCCTGTGGCTGTCGCCCCCCGCAGGGACTTGTGGGTGGCGGTGCTGGTGCTGCTGCTGCTGCTGCTGCTGCTGCTGCTGCTGCTGCTGCAGCAGCAGCAGCGGCTGCGCGGGCTCGGGGAGGGGCGCGTGGTGCTGCTGCTCGCGCGGCTGTTGCAGGGGCTGGTGGCCGGGGTACAGCTGGTAGTGCTGCTGCTGCTGCTGCTGCTGCTGCTGCTGCTGCTGCTGCTGCTGCTGCTGCTGCTGCTGCTGGTGGTGGTTGTGGTTGTGGTAGTTGTACCCGCTCCGCCCGTCCAGCTGCATTCCACCGGCGCCCGCCAGGTACTCTGCGTCTGACGCAAACTCCTGCTGCTCCCGCTGCAGCGACAGCAGCTGCTGCTGCTGGAACGAGGCGCCCGACGAGTACTCGTGCGCGGCTCCCGGCGCGGGGCCGCCAGGCACGAACTGGGGCAGGCCGTATTGATTGGTGGGCGGGGCGGCCGGCGCCACGGCCGCTGCCGCCGCCGCCGCCGAGGCTGCGTCAGCAGTGCGGTCAGCCGGCGATCCCTGGGTCAGGGGGTTTGGGGGCGGCGCGAGGGTTGGTGCGTGGACAGAGCGGCTGTATCGTATGGAAGGGAGTTTGTGGCGGCGCGCCGAGTTTGGGAAGGTGCGGGTCGCGTGCAGGCGGCGCACCCCAGATGAGACCCCGTGGGGCGGATGCGGCCTGCCCTGCCGCGCCGCCGCCGCGCTGAAGCCGCCCCCGCGCCCCGCCCGCCGCTGCTCACCGACTTTGTGCGCTTTGAGCTGTGGCGCGTCGCCGTGCGGCCCGCGGCGCAGCCGACGTGGTGCTTGCCCGGCTTGAGCCCCTTGCCGCACTTTGGGCAGTGCGCGAGCTCGGTGCCGTGGCCACGCTCGCGCCCGCTGCCGCGCACGTCCGGCGGCGCGCGATAGTGCACCTTCAGGCGCCAGAGCTCGGCGAAGGAGCGCTTGCAGGCCGGGTAGGGGCAGAACCACCTGCGTCGGTGGGGCGCCAGCGAGGCACCAGACGGCAAGATGTTGCAAGCGGTGCACGCGCACGCAGGGGCGACGCAGGCAGTGGCCTGCTGCCGGCGCTGTGCAGCAGGAAGGACTGCGAAAGATTCACAACAGTGGTGTGATACCCGCTGCGGGGTGGCCAACGCTGCACGAGAAGATGCCGTCTGGACGGGCGATGATTGATGGACAAGAACAGCCGAATCGAGCCGCGGGGCACGTCAGATGGTAGCATAGTCATCGAAATAGAGAATGCGGGGGTCCTCGGGGTCGGCGACCGCGTCCTGGGGCCGAACCAGCGTTGGCCCACACCTGGTTGGGTCGCTTGCCTCCTCCATATCAAGAAGACCTATTTCAGGTCCTTCAAGTCAAATCAATAGGCCTTGGACCACCACCCGCACGCTGCTGTCGCCCCGCGAGCCCGACGCTGCTGAGCGACTGAGACACGGGCTGACCCTAACTCCAGGAATATTTAAAAACAACACTGAATGGAATGTATGCGGCGACGAAACCGCTAGTGAAGATCGTGCTTCCCGCCGTGGTGCGCCATGTGAAGCCTTGATGCGGACGGTGCTATTTCAAAGGAAATTCATTTGCAACTCATCGCTATCGTGCATGGCTCGGCTCTTGTGTCCAGTGGGCAAACAGGCGGACCGTGCAGGCACCCGCCGCGACACACCCGGGCGGACAACGGCATGTGCGAGCCAGCAGGCCGGGACAGGTGCCAGTGCGCACGCAGCCCGCAGGTCCGCCCCATCCCTACAGCTGCCTGCATTGCGGGGCATTTGGGATGCACCCCTACTAAGGCCGTCCCACTGTCGGGCGTCCCCGTCCGCCGCCCCCTGCCTATGTGGCAAGGCTCATGACCACAGCCAGACGTGCGCAGCTGCCTCAACCCACGATTACAAGTGGCCAGTTTTGACGTTGCGCCCATGCTTCTACATCCATCGCATGCGCCGACGCCGCATTCGCGCCGCCCCCTCTCGTCTGCACCGCTGGCACCGCCCCTCGAACGAGACGCAATGCAGCACCCCCCTCCGACAAGCGGCGCCCCTCCCC